ACTTATTAACGACTCTCTCATCATTGATGTTTCTATCTCTCTCTCTCTTCCTCTCTCTTCCTCTCTCTGAAATCAATGAAGATATATTTAAAAAAGAAAAGAAAAAAAATAGCTTTAAAAGAAAGAAGCTGGAAAATGTAAAAAGGTTGCTAGTTAAATGAAGACCTGAATGTCCTCAAGGGTTATGTCAAAACAATCATGGATAAAAAAAAAAGGAGTGGGGGGGAGAAAGTCTGATAAGAATAAAATCAGAAAAAAACTAAGGAAAGAAATCAAACGCAACTTTGAGATATAAATAGAAAAGCAACCTGTTTACCAGTGAAGCTTAACAAAAGAATTAAATAATTAGTCATCTTTTCATTATTTGAGAAGGATGTCAAATAACACACTACTTTTAAAAATTAGGGATTTGGGGACTCTTTTTTTAATGAGGCAGAAAGCAGAAAGTAAGTGGGAAGGGGGGAAAACTTTCTCTAGTTAATTTCTCCTACCCTAGCCTATTGCTCCCCTGCTTCAGGCCCAGCTACAGCCTCTCCCTCTCACTTACCCTTTCGCACTGGGGTACACATCTGTGACATTATTATCCTACTTGCCTAACTAGCTACCCAGGAAGAGTCCTGTTTGCATGATTCTTTCCCCAAGCTGAACTCGGAAGTGCTCAATTGATACTGCTGAACTAAATGATCTGAGCACATCTAAGCATTTTTTAAAAAAATTAAAAATCTTGGTATATGCTTATTTTTCAAGATTACTTTAGTAACACAAGCAAAGATTTATATAAATATACACTGCCCTAAAAAGTACTGAATTTTTTGAGGTGAAAAATACAAAACTGACACAAAAATCTAGTTTTTAGGTTTATATCATTCTCATTTCCATTTTGAATCATGTGACTTGAAAAGCTTTTGGGTGGAGTTATTAAAAATCCACGTTATAGGAAGTTGGAAGCAGAAAGGTAAGATTCTCTCCTTTTGCATAAATGACATGAACATTGATAACATTTTCTGGGTTTCTGATGATTTAAAAGCAGTTTTTACTGGTATATAAATACTTTCATTCAGTGGGCCCCAGAAATTTTCACTAGAATTTTTTATGCTTTCATATTTTATTCTTCCCTTTAACATTTCTAAACATTTGGTAACAAAACAGTTAGAAAAGTTTTCAAAAACTTGATGTAGTAATATGGATTGTGTATGATGTACTTTTTAGTACAAAGTAAGCTAAGTAAATAGGTTATAGCTAAAAAAAATTTATAAGGATTGGCAGAGCATGGAGACCAAACATTACATAGATCTTTTCTCTGTTCTCTCACTTATCTATCATCTTATCTATCTTATATCTTATCAAGATATCTATGTATTGCCCAGCCCAGTATAGCTCAGTAGTTGAGCATCCACCTATGAACCTGGAAGTCATGGTTCGATTCCTGGTCAGGGCATGTGCTTGGGTTTTGGGTTTAATCCCCTGTAGGGGGTGTGCAGGAGGCAGCCAATTGATGATTCTCTCTCATCATTGCTGTTTCTATCTCTCTCTCCCTTCTTCTCTGAAATCAATAAAAAAACAAACATAAGAAAAAGATGATATCTATGTGTTATCTCGATAAATAGATGATAGTTATGCTCCTCAATTAGGGGGCTTTTGTGATATCTCTGAGCTTACTTTTAGTTATAAATCAATAACAGTTGTTCATAGCCCAAGAGACGTGCTTCACCTTACATAGGAATCAAAGAGATTTGAATATCAATATGCTCTATAGTCCACAGTGGATAATCACTGTCATTATCAAGTCACCAATGAGTAAGTGGTAGGGGTCTGTTTACACAAGGTGAGTGTATCATAATTTTAGGATGACATTGACATTTTGAGCTAGACTTGAGCTAATATTGTACTTATCACTTACTGGTACATACACTTTAAATAAGGCTCATGGCTCAGATATTTACCCATATTTCTGTCTTCCCATTGTTCTTCCTGCATCTCTCAGCCAGGGAGTAGAGCTCAACAGTAGTTTCAGATATTAGGTCCACATTTTTGCCCTTCACAATGATCTGCATTACTCTTCCCTTGTTGATGTGGGCATCGAATGTGCTGTCCCAGGGCGGGTACATGGTTGGCTTTTTCTGGATGTACATCTGCCCATTCTCTAGGAACAGAAAGATACGGTCTCGTTACTCCTTTAGCCAGCTCTGGGAAAACTCAGTTCAACTCAGCAGGGGTGCTCATTCTGTCTGCTCTACAATATATAATTCTGTTGGGAAGACAAAAATAAGATGTAAAACAATTACAGCGAATATAGGGCAGAATGAGACAGTTCCGAGGTCTGCACGCAAGGTAATGGATTGAAACGTAAAAGTTAATCTGGATAATTTAGGCAACAAAAACCTGATAAAGGCTCAAAGTGGCAGAGTTCTTTTCCTATTCAACAGTTGCTTCACTTTGAGTGTGAACACAGGAGCAGATAGAGGAACGCAGGTGCCAAGCCTCGTATACTTGGGAGGGCAGAGTGGGTTAGACCCCATTCTTCACCGTGAGATGCAAAACCTTTCAAACAGAATGAGCCATTATTTCCTTCTCTAATTCTCAAGCGAGGACACATTTTACCTGAACCATGCGTCATGCACCCTAAACAAAAGGTGACAAGTAACTCAGAGAGGGTGGGGGCCTTCCTCCTGGCAGCGAGTCAGTGGAGCAGGCTATAGACCTGCAGAGGAAGAGCAGGCCGGTGGGAGTCCTGGAAATGATTCTAACAAGAATGTGGTCAGGATGATGGGGGTTTAGGAAAACCGCCCCTGAGCCACGGGGTGATAGGGAGAGTTGACCAGTGGGAGTTTGAGCAGTGTTGTCGTATGTTTCATCCAGACTGGATTTCTGTAGGAGCTGTTCTTTAATCATTTCAGAAGCAGAAAACTACAGCTGTACACATTTGAGTGTTTGTTTCTTGTGATAATAAGCACATTAAGTAGCAGATTTAGCAATTCAGAGATGTTGATTAAACAAAAGGTAAAATCCCTTTAAAGCAGGGAAACAAAGCAGTCCTGATTCCTGATGATCCTTTCTCTCCAATGCACTAGCTGGAACGGAACTGGCATTAGCATTTGCTAAATTGTTTGGGAGGTATGCCAGGATGTGCATAAGCTGAAACTTCAAATTTTAGGCAAACATTGTTATTAGAGGTATGAACTGATAATGATCAGGGTAGAATAGGAAGGGGTGTATTTTTATTGCTTGCCTAAAAGGGATTTAACTAGTGGAGTGAAGAGAGCAGACATTGCCAATGACATTGATCAGTGTGTTACTGGAACCATCAGTGAGGACAAAGATTTAGCNAGGGATTTAACTAGTGGAGTGAAGAGAGCAGACATTGCCAATGACATCGATCAGTGTGTTACTGGAACCATCAGCGAGGACAAAGATTTAGCGAAGTGGAAGGCACTGCTAGAGGAAGACCCTGGATTGTTAACCGAGGCAGAGGAGAAGAAATGGGTTGACAAACTTAGTGTCCTTTCTATCAGCTCTGATGCCTTCTTTCCTTTCAAAGATAATGTAGACAGAGCTAAAAAGAGTGGGGTGGTTGACATTGCTGCTCCGCCCCGTTCTGCTGCTGACAAAGTCATGATTGAGGCCTGGGAATAGTTCTCACTCATGGGAGTCTTCGGCTCTTTCATCATCCATTTCATCACATGGCGTTTTAAGGTTTGCTTATATGTGTGTGAAAAAATCATGTGAGGAATGTTGAAAATAGATATTTAAAAAAAACAAACACTAAACCTGAATAATAATATTGGGAGGAAAAAAGAAATTGAACTGGAAATTGGACTTAAAAACAAACAATGGCAATATTAACGATCACAGTAACATTTTACTTCCATGGACTTGAAGCCCTTCCTTCTTATAATTCTTTTCAACCATAACCTTTCTCCACACCTAACAGAGGACAGAAGTTCCCATGGTGAGGCATTTTTCACCACTAGGTTTGTAATCACCTAAAAAGAACACCAGAACTCAGGATCCTGGCTAGTTATAGTGAGTTTCATCACTTTTTCAAAGGCTCCCAGACCCACAGCACCATGTCCCTTTTGTCCCTATTCTGTTGACTCATCATGGAAAAGGCAGCCTCACATCCCCAAGGTTGAGTGTGGGATTCTAAATTCTATAGAAGTAATGCTTGAATGATAATGTTTAAAGAGATTTCTTTTCAGAACAACCCCAAACAAAATAAAAAACAAAACCCTTCAAACTCCACCGGCTAACCTTTTGGAAAAACAAAGTTGTCTTCTTTTCTGACAAGGTCTTGATCCACATGGCTGATTAGACCAAGTTCAAAGGCAAGGCCAAAAGGAGGAGAGAAAAAAGCTCTTAGGAGGCAAATGTCAGGGAGACCTGTGGTTGTAAAGAGAACTGAGATCCAGGAGACCCATTAAGTCCAAAGCGGCTTTGAAAAACCCAGACATTTTACACTTCAAAGATTTCTGTGACATTTGAAAAGTTTCAGATTGGGAGCAAGTGGCATTCTCACTTTAAACAGGAGAGAAATCCAGTCAGAAGGGAACTCAGGATGGTACAGAAGGTCTGCTCAGCTGTGTTGCACTCACAGGGGCAGGAAGAGTGAAGTCTACAGGGAGGCCAAGTCTTTTAAGGGAGGGAAAAGCCAAGAGGGAGGGTTGGGAACCCTAGGATCCTGAGTCGGCAGCATCTAGCTGGAGGTTCTTACATGTGGCATCAGGTTTCCCTTGCACCTGTAAATGTTACCCCCTTAGAGGACTTTGCAGGACCACCCTGTATAAAATAACATGTGTCTCCGTCCCTTCTCTGTCCCCTTTCCTGCTTTGTTTTCCTTCACTTCACATAACTATTTTTGTATACTGTCTGTCTTACTCTGTTAGAATAGCAAGGGTACTTTCTCTGTCCCAGTGCACAGTGAGCACCCCATCAATACTTCTTATGTAAATGAATTGTGCTGGCTCCTATGGTCACCGCAAACCTGCACAGGGTAACCCTACTCTCTATAAAGTGTCTGCTGAAATAAGAAGTGTATGGAAGGTGTGGACAAGAAGGGGCCACATGCTAATCTCACTAGCTCAGGGGAAGCCTGCATGGCGGCCTTGCAAACTCAGAGACCTAAAATAACCACGAAGGATGGCCTGAAATTAAAACTTTTGTTTTGAAATGTGTTTTTTTAAAATTGATTTCAGAGAGAGGAAGGAAGAGGGAGAGAGAGATAGAAACATAAATGATAAGAGAGAATCATTGATTGGCTGCCTCTTGCACGCTCCCCACTGGGAATTATGCCCAAAACCCAGGCATGCGCCCTGACTGGGAATCGAACCGTGACCACCTGGTTCATGGGTCGACCCTCAACCACTGAGCCAATCCGGCAGGTGGAAATTAAAACTTTTTAAACTAAAGANCTCAACCACTGAGCCAATCCGGCAGGTGGAAATTAAAACTTTTTAAACTACAGACAGTTTNAATTAAAACTTTTTAAACTAAAGACAGTTTATGGTGGGTAGTCATGTCCTAGGCCAGTATCTTCCCTGACAAAGGTCAGTTTTTACCTTAACTAAGACTATTGTCTTTTGCATCTATGNATGGTGGGTAGTCATGTCCTAGGCCAGCATCTTCCCTGACAAAGGTCAATTTTTACCTTAACTAAGACTATTGTCTTTTGCATCTATGACATCTCATTGGAATGTCAGGGTAACTGACATTCCAGACCCCACAGGGCACAACCAGTGCACCAGGGCAGAGACCATAAATCCTCTCATTGTTTTATCATGTTAATTGTTGACTGTTAACTATCCTGTACCCACCTATCTAAAAGATATATGTGTCTATCATTTTACTTTTCATGCAATCTCATAGGTTCTCCCCCTTCTGTCACCAATGGATTTCTGTAACCCACTTGCGTCATCTCTCTTGATTGTAATGTATAAAATAAGATGCAAAACTGCCACCCTCCAGAGCATTATCTCAATCCATTGAGATTTTGCTTCCCGGAACAGTTTGGCTCAAATAAACTAACAAAAATTCTTCACAGGTTTGAATGTTTCTTTCGTTAAAAAAGGAAATAAGGAAGGTAGTGGGGTTGGGGAAAACCTTGGGATGTAAACTTCCTCGTTTCCTTTGGAAGGTCCCTAAGAATCTTAAAATACAGGGACAGGGAGAAGGTGAATGGAAACCAGTGGAAGTGACTATGGAGAGATTCCAGACAGAATAGGATTATTTTAACTGAATGATCTAAACCCATGAAAGGAATTTTGGAAGACTGTCACACCTCCCTCACTATGAACTGCCTATCTACATTTAAATTGGACAAAACATTGACTATTATTTTACTGATTCCGGGTCTTAACACATAAAAAAGTAAGTTTTCTGAAATTTAGATTCTAATGGTTAATTACATATTTTTTGTAACATTCATCGAAGCTTAGCCAAAGAAACAGTAAGCCGTCTTTAGAGCTAATTCTAAGATTATGCAGACTTAATCTATAATCATGGAAAACAGCCAGGCTTTACAATATAGGTCCCATGTTCTACTTTAGCTCACTAGATTTTTCTTCCCCGTTAACTCCTCACATAATGTCCTCAAATCCATTTCTCCTTTCCTTTGCTTCCTTTGTTTATGTGGGAAAATGGTCCAGTGAAATAGAACACAAGGCAGGAGACCCGGGTCTGGTTCAAAGGTGATCACTAAGGCCACGTGCCCTTGAGGAAGTACTTGGCTTCCCCAGGCATCAGTTTCCTGGATTGGAAATTAGGTTGAACAAGATGATCTCAAAGACCGGGAAAGGCCTTGCTTCATAGTTCATAGAGGATCTTCCTCCCCTCCGGTTCCTGGAAGACCCACTCAAGCTTACCTGATTCGACATATTCTTTGACAAGCACAGCGCAGTAAGGGTTAACGGCCTCTCCTTGACATGGCTGGCAGGACCCACAGTCAAAGTTGGATAAACCAATTCGAAGAAATGGTGACATGGTGGCTCCCTGCAAAGTGACAAAAGACAAATGCTATTTGAGGGACTATATTATTTTTGGTGTCCATCACCACTTAATCAGTGCTTTATTGCCGACAGCCACAGCTTCAAATGGTTTAACTATCCATTTGAACAAATGCTTTTACTTCCCCTTCTGCAAATTACATTATTGGGCTCACCCCAAGCCACAGACTGACTTGCCAAGGAAGTAGGCTTTCTGGAAGTCTGTGTTATTCCACCTCCTCAGTTAGAACTGTAACTCCAGTCTTAACTTAATGGAGTTACATTTAATAGTTGTAGAGAGGCAAACATTTCCCAACATTTTAGTCCTTCTATTATTCAAGTAGGTACCCAGGAAACAACTAACAATAATAAGAAAATGAGTTTATAAAGAGGGAGTCTATTTTAGTCACACTAGTTAAATATGACACCACAAGATTCTTACATGGGCTATTTATGTGTGTGGTAGAATTGGCGCCGGGTATTTAGCAGCTGAGCCCTATTTACTTTAGACATTTCAAAAAGGTTGCTTTCTTCGCAATTGTATATATGTGTGAGTATATAAATATATATATATATATACACACACATGCATATAAAATAAACCTTTGAGCGTCATAAACTACTTAAAAAACCCTAAATCATTGACCTCCATAAAATAGAGCTTTATTGTGTAAGGATGAACAAAGTACTTCATAAAGCCAATTAACTAATAATTATGTTTGCCTAGAGATATAGGTGAAAATCCATAGTCTTGGTTACCCATTTTAGGATTCTAGTCTGAATCTTCACCTGCTGTTCCTTTCCTTGCTTGCTCTGGCTGCCACTTATCTCAGCTAAACACTCCCCGTTTGTTTTTTTTTTTTCCCTTTTTTAACCTACTATTCCATGCTGTCTCATTACTTTCAAACTATCACCTGGCTTTCAGTGAAAAAGCTCTTTGCTTCTTTTGACTTCTTGAACCGTTTTCTCCTGAATTTTCCCAAACTTTCTCAAGTAAGCCAAAGTTAGCAAGAACAAAGCCTTAGCTGTCTTTTCTACCTTTTATAAAGGACGTAAACTACTCAGACTAATGGGAATCCAGATGTGAAAACCGACAATGTCACCGGAAATCTCGGCCCCAAATGCGGAATCCTGAATCTGGCAGAGTCGTAAAAGTTAGTCAGTCTTTGGGAATGCCAGCTGTCTGCGGACCTTTTGGGTTTTCTGAACCAGAGAAACAAATTAAGGGGGGCTCTTGACAACTGCTGTTAATTTCATGGATTTTAAGAAAGTCTCCATTTCCTGCAGAGTTTTTAGTAGGTTTAACTGAAGGAGATGGTTAAAGAATCACGATTTGTTGGGTGTCCTTAGTCTCTGAAACACATTCTGTGTAAGTCACGCTGCTGAATTAACAGCAGGACGACTCCAGCCTTGTCTTTAGGGGCCCCTTCACCCTCTGAATTTAGAATTCTCGGGCAGGAGGTAGGCTGACAACAGAGAGTTCTCCGGAGAAAACTTCTTTGAGACACCCCCCCTCCCCTTTCCTGGGCCACATAGGTCTTTGGAGAAATCTGTATTTCTCCAGTAATCAGGAAAAAATCACCAGGAACTGTCCTCATTTGAGAATACTCTGTGTGAACTCGTTGAAGATTTCCTCAATACGAGTAAAGATAAGTAAGTAATTCTTACTTGAGTCTGGAGGGGTTATTGACTCATGAAGTCTTAGTTACAAGCACTCTGACCTTTAGTGAGGGGTGTGTCATTCTACTATTTCCAGGCAGGGTTCAGAATTAGGTGACAGCAGCTCATCATGCACCTGGGAGTATCTGTTTGGGAAGAGACAGAAACCTCTAGGGTACCCAGGGTTTCTATGTGTGGAAGAGAAGTTCAGTGAAACCCCCTCTCCTCCCACAGGGTGTCTTAGACATCAACCGACCTCCTATTACATCAGCAGTCCGGATTCATTTGCCATTTCACCAGATTCGCTTGCCCTGTGCACTCATCCATGAGCACTTGACAGTTTACCTAATACGCCACTGCTTCTTCTTCTAAAGGTCTAGCCCCAGTGACAGGGTCTGACATTTTGACATTTAGACCAAATTGACATTTGTGTGCTTAACCTCACACATTGTTTAATAAAACCTCAAGTTGAAGGTTGTGTTTTTTAAGGCTGAAGGTAGCATTTTATTCCTGAGATACGCAGAAAATTTTCTCCTCTTGTAACAATAAAGTGAGCCTTATGAAAGATGAAGAAAACGCACAAAATTGGAACGTCTCCTCAGAATTCCACCAATAAGAGCAAATGGCTGTTACTATTTTTATGTATTTTTTCCTAGTCTTTTTAAATGAAGAGGTTGTCTGCTTTTTGTTTTGCATGCTGTGCTCATATGTATGCATGGAACTGTGTTTGTTTTTTATTTAACATCTTACCATAAAACCTATGTAAGTGCATTATTTTTGTTGGTATCTTTTAATTCTTGCATGATGTTCTACTGGGGGACAGCAACAGGGGTACTTTACTAAAGTCTTACAGTTTCACAGTTAGACTGTTTCCAACTTTTCCATACTAGAAATATGCTGTGATAAGCATCCTTTTACAATTTAAAAAAAAATTAGGAATATTGCATCAGACTAGATCACTAGAATACTACAATATTACTAAATCAAATGATATTACTATTTGTAAGGTCTTATACACATCAAGAAAATAATGAAACATAAAGTCAAAGACCCAACAGGGGCAATCTTGATGGTAAGTACAACAGACAACTGAGTTCACATCATTCTTACATAATAAGCATATGCAAATTTATATAAATGCTGTTATATAAATGCTAAGTGAGCAATGGCACAAACTGTACAAAATACAGAAAACATAGTTGCAACTTGTTGTATGGAAAAGTGTTCAGCCTTGTGAGCAATTTAAGAAATGCAAAATAAAACAAGATACTATATAATTGCATTTATATAATATTCTTGAAAAGACAAAGCGATATGGAGAAACAAATATCACTGGTTACCAGTGGCTGGGGGAGGGGACAGAGTATGGCTTAAAGCAATAGCATGAGCACATTTGGGAGGAAGATAGAACTGTTCTATAGCCTGATGGTGGTAGAGCTCACAGAAATCTAAACTTAAATGAACAGAATTATACACCAAAACCAAAAATCAGTTTTGCCATATGATAATTTAAAAACCGAATTAAAAATATGCTTTTGGCATTTCAAGGTATGGATTATAAATCCAGAGGGAATATAGATAAAATACAAAAAATACACATTAGGAAACTCTGAATTCATATAATCAAATATTAATTCTAAATCCTAAAGTAATCAAGAGTAGCCTCCTCAATTTGCTAAAGGGAAATAGAGCCTTAAAGATAAACAAAACAACTTTTACTCTGCAGTATTTAAGCTCTTTTGAAATTTTGCATTTTGGTTAAAATAGCTGAGGAAAAAATAACATTAGAATTTGATAATGCATTTTCTTTAAAGCTCTATAAATATTCAATGCTTAATTTAAACTGTAATAATGAGCACGGCTGGGCGTGGCTCAGCAGTTGAGCGTTGATGTAGGATCCAGGCGACTGGGGTTTGATTCCTGGTCAGGGCACATGCCCACATGCCCACATGCCCGGGTGCGGGCTCCATCCCCAGTGGGGGCGTGCAGGAGGCAGCCGATCAATGACTCTCTCATCACTGATATTTCTATCTCTCTCTCTCCCTCTCCTTTCCTCTCTTGGAAATCAATAGATATTTAAAAAAATAAACTGTAATAATGAAAAGAGTTAAAATATTTAAAATATAAAAAATAACAAATTTTACCTGTGTAATTAGCAAGTATTTTGGAAATGTTCTTACCTAACACTAACAAGGAACACATGAATCATACACTTTAAGAAAAAATTGTTATAGCTGTCTTTACTATTATTTTTTATGTCTTTATTGATATCAGAGAGAGGAAAGGAGAGGGAGAGAGATAGAAACATCAATGGTGAGTCACTGATCGGCTGCCTCCTGCACGCCTCCCACTGGGGATTGAGTCCGAAACCTGGGCATGTGACGTCACTGGGCATCAAACTGCGATCTCCTGGACCATAGGTTGATACTCAACCACTGAGCCATGCCAGCTGGGCATGAATCATGCACTTTTATACAGTGAGGTTTGGAGTGTAAATTTCCGCCATCCTCTTGAGCGCGCACGCACACACACACACATACGCAGAGTATGTGCGTGTGTATGTATATGTATATTTTGAGAGCCAAGAAAATGTGGAGTAAGCACAAGAAGAAATTAACATGAAAGCTTTTGTGGGCTGGCTTCTTGTGTTCAGAGCTGATGGTGAGAGAGAAAGGGGATTTCCCAGGGTGCTAAAATAGAAAGGAGAATTGTTTGTGTACAAAAATACATGCACAGGATAGGATCTATCAGGTGTCCTCCCCCAGTCTCTCTGTGAGTGTAAATCTTATAAATCTCCTCTTTACTTGCCATTCAGGGGCTTTTCACCCTTTACAACAAACAGTATGTTTTTAAGACTGACTGGCCAGGCTGCCCCTGAGCCCAGGGGCCAGGTCCCTCCACAGACCTCTCCTCTGAGCAATACAACCACACACTCGGCTCTCTCTTGGACAGCTCCTGGGGATCCTCCCAATGGAACTCATTGTCCTGCCTTTCAAATCTGCCCTCCCTTTATTTTGCCAGCTCAATGACTGGAGCCAAGATTTGCAGCTTGTCACTCTTTCCCTCCTGTACCACAAGCTTTTCTCCTTCCCCACCCCCTCTCCTCACTTAGCTCCATTCGGCATCCTCCCTTGTTTGACTCATCACAGCAGCTTACCCCGTGTCCCTCTGCAATCCTGGTCACCTCTCATTCCCGGTCAGATCTCCACGCTGCAGCCCAAAGGACTTTCCTTAGGACTGTGCAGAGCTGCTGCCATTTCTCCCCGTGCCACGCTGTTCCACAGCTCTGGGCTTTTAGTAATGCTGCTCCCTCTCCCCG